TCCATCACCCCTGCAGCTGTTAGCTCAGATCTTCGAGAAGAGACACTATTCACCGCCGAGGAGATGTATGACGAACTCACTCGTTGGTATGTTGTTCGCTTTGAAAAGGTTCCAGTTGGCAAGAGACTCGGATGGGAGATTGTTAAGCGGATAGATGTGCCTGAGACATCCAGTGATCAGGTCGTCTCGAAGGTGCGGGAGCTCAACAGGACCACCGTTCCGGTCCTTCACAAGTTGAACGACCTGGACGCGGATGTCCTCGACCAGATAAACACGGTGCAAAAGGAGGTTCAGCAGTTATTCGGTTACTATTTCCAGACCGAAGTGGCCCAGATTGAAGATAGGGTTTGGGTTGTGGTGAAGGAGAAGACCTCTAGAGAGCGCGGCAGGGGGTATGAGCGAGATCCCAAGGGCTCAAAGCACCATCACCGTGGCCGACACTCGGACAAGAGGTCAAAGTCGAGAGGAGCGCCCGTCTCTCGCTCGAGAGAGAGGAAGGAGGAACGGACCAGCGTCACGGCCTATTACAAGACCGCACCCAAACCTGGGGTGGATCTGCATATGCTCATGTATGGCAGAGCTGAAGAGCCTTCGACAAGGCCAAGATATGCCTACCAGAATGAGGTGCGAGAGGAGGGTCATGTGCGATTCCAGGTGCCTGCTCAAGGTCTCCCCCAGCATCACCAGCAACAACCGCAACATGGTCAACACTCTTCATCCCTTCCGCACCCTCAGCATCGCCAGGACCACGGCCCACCACAGCACCAACATCAGCATGTCCCGCCTGGTGACCGGCAGTTCGGCCAAACACCCCAGCCTCCGCTTCAAGCTCCACGGAATGCGCCACACCAGGCGGGAGCAAACATCATAAATCGAGGCGAGAGCCCGGGTGTTCAAGGCCGACCACCAATGCCACCGCAGGGGTATCCGCAAGGCCTTCCGCAAGGCCACCCTCAGGGGCATCCTCATGGACATACTCAAGGGTATCAACAAGGAAAGCCACAAGGAGATCAGCAAGCACACTACCGACCTCCAGTTCAAGGCCAAGTCCAACCAAGGCCTGTCTCCTTACAGCAAGGCCATCCCCAAGTTCAAACGGCCCAGGGCCAGCGGCAGACGGAATACCGAGGGAATGGTGGCCCTATCGTTACTGTAACACACCCCCCCCACAAGCCCGGTATCCTGAAGCAACACCCCACTGAACAGGGTCTTCCACAACGCCGTGCATCCTTAACTCCCCATTTTGCATATCCTCCCGACAGTCCGAGTACAGACGAGTCTCTGGTAGCTGAAGTCTTCAGCGAGGACGAGGAAGATTACGATTCAGACACTGCTGTGTCCGAGGAATCTTTTCCCGAAAACCTTCAGTTCGCTGGACCAAGAAAGCCGAACAATGTGGTTGTGAACAACCCTCCCCCCCAGCCCCGCTTCACGGAGAACGCAGCGCATGGTATGCCACCCAAGTTCCCGCGACAAATGCCGGTGCAGCCAATGATGCAGCAGCAACAGCAGCATCAGAAGCAACCACAGCAGCAACCACAGCAACGTCACGTCGTTAAAGGGCGACGACATTCGGTCAGCAACCACATGGCGACAGAGCGCATGTATGCCCCAACGCCGCCTCCGCTCTTTCCCATGAAAGAGCGTCCGCGGGTCGATGTCCACGAGATTGAGAAGAATGCCTATGAGGCAGGAAGAGCTGATGCTCAGGAAGAAGCATTCAAGCTAGCCGAGCGTCTGACTGCGGCAGCCAAGCCCCAAATCATCCTCCCAGAGAGGAGTCGCCCTCAATCTCCGCCACAAGTTCTGCGACATCAGTCCCCGGTTCCAACACAGCCTGTTCGCCGAATCACGTTGCCCCTTCAAACACCCCATTCTGGAGTAAGGCGGGTCCAGGGAATGGAAGCAAGACGTGAAAGCTTTGTTCCAACCTCGCCTCTTGACCGATATGAGTCGGGCATGACAGCGGACCGAAGACGGAGCAGCTTCGTCGATCGAGACACTGACCGGCGCCGGGATGATGGTACTGAATATGTCGTCGAGTACGGCACTGGTGCCTATGATTCAGACGTCTTTGACGAGGAGGAGATGTATGAGGAGCGTCAGCGTGGCTCCGGAGTATACCGCCGTGCATCCCCGGTCTCTTATGCTCCCAAGGCCGAGGACAGGCTCAGACGTCCGTCTGTTCACGATGACAGAGATAGACAATATGAGACTGTGCGGGTGAGATTAGGAGCTGACCGGTTGCCTAGACGGGAGGATGATCCAGTGTACGCGAGAGATCGCGAGGGAGACCGGGGCGATTTTGTCCAGAGACATGACAGGAGAGACTCTGGGGTAGATGTAGGTGGTTTTCGATATGAGGGCCTGAGGCCCGGGTTGGCGAAGAGGACCGCGACATACCCTGCAAGGTATTCCCGGGACCATTAAATCTGGAAACAAATTGAATTTGAGCTTATGGCGTTTGGTGTTGGTTGGGCGTTCGGATCCCCATGACGACAAAACAGGGCAAAAGACCCCAGAATGATTGTATAGCGAAAGCTGAACTGAAAATATATACGTTAATGACTGTTCTTTTTACAATATGCCGGTTACCTCGAGTCCGGTGCCATATTGAGGCATAAAAAACACGAGGGATTTTGGGTTTCCGGCTTCGGCGATGGTGAAGCTGCTGTGCTGCGTCCAATCAAAGTAGGCGGTGGTGAGGCCTTTGGCGAGTGATATGGGATATAGTGATTGATGATTCGAATACGTGATTATCTTTCACCCCCACGCGCAACTGGAAGGTCAAGATCCAGCTCGTGGCCAAGGAGCGGAGAAAAAAAAAGGAAAGTGCAACTGGAACAGCGCTCTTTCCGGCTTACCCGCTTGCGTGTAATGAGCAGGCAGGTACGGCTTGGACGGGCAGCCGCGTGGGCCGATATGTCTGTCTATAATTCAAGAGAGGAAGGAATGCTGGACTTTCTGGTCTGATTTCGTCACACTCACTTATTATTAAGTGACATTTTCGCCGCTTGGTCTTGTTCTCACAAAATACCAGGTATCCATCATCCGGTCCTCATCAGTCCCAGTGCGCTGCAAGATGGTGGCATACACTCTCCAGCCCATCGACTCCATCGTCTCCAACAGCCACAAGACCATCAGCCGCATCTTGACAGAGGCTTCACCTCTAGACCGCCATGGCCGGCCTTTCAACTTGAACTCGAACGAATCATGGCTCCAGTCACCCTTCTCAAAGTAGTCCAGGCTCTCCAGCATCTTCTTGAGATTCATGATGACGACACCCAGGTGATCATGATCAGCCTCGGTCCCTGGACATCCGTCGTTCTTTGCGTCATATACGATCCGAATCTTGTCATAGAAAGCCGTCGCCAACCCAAGCCACTCAACTGGCTGTGCGGGTACAACAGCTGAGGGAAGTGAGGTTCGTCGGAAAATCAAAGTGTCCTTTGCGGTATATCGTCGGCTGCATATCGCCGAGGTGACAAGTTCCCAGGAGTGGTTGTAAAGTAGGGCGAGAAGATCCCGAAGCAGCCGTATCCCTCCAACCGCATCTTGACTACCAAAGTATCCCCACGGCTTCCCTTTCAACTTGAATTCGAATGCCTCACCACATGGCCCATTAGATTGAATGCCAGGTTGCCAGACCGAGGCAATCACGGATTCCATATTTGACTTGATCTCGTCTGGGAAACCCAACAAGCGGATGGTGTCCGTTTTGTGGAAAGAAAGGGTGGCGTACTTGGAAGAGCCAGGCATGTTGTTTTCAAGGGTATTATCTGCCATTTTTGAGATGTTGTGTCCAGCAGGTCTTTGGAGAGGTGAAGACTAGAACTCCCGTCGAAGAGCCCACGATGCCCATATATCTCGGCCAACAAGATGCCCCTCGGAAATCCAAAGCAAAGCCTCCTCACCTCGGTGACCATTCCATGGCAGCTCTGCGGCAAGGCTGCGATTGTTATTGACGGGGCGGGCAGACCAAAGATTGGCCGTCGGCAGCCACAACTTGGAGACGCATGTCGGAATCGTATTTCGTATCAATTGGTGCCAAGATTTTGCTGAGTTAACCACCATCAGGTCAGTGCCATGTCCACTCGGACAGGAGAATGGTGAGAGATGATCTGAAGTCAATTCATCTGAATTCAAGTGTTCATCTTATCTTATCTCATCCACCGTGCCACCCCACCAAGGTCAATTGACAGACGCGCCAAGAACCCCAGAAAATCGACGGCAGACCCACTAAACAAGGGGCGCGAAGGGGCTGGGAAGGTGGTCCAAGCTCGCTTCCGTAGCAACGCTCTGTGAGCGTGGGCAAAGCAGGCTGGACAGCATCAGGGTCTTCAATGTTTCCCTCGAGATGGAGTCCTCCCGGCCATGACGATGTCCACCTTGGAAACTGAAGTTATTCCCTGTCGTCCTGCGCTCTTTTGACGTCCAGCCACCCGGTTTTCCAGCTGAGCCGACGAGCAGCTCCACGCCCGAAACCAAGTTGCACAGCTGGCACAAGGGCAGCTTGGAAATACAAATCGGAAGCCAACCAGTTGCCCCGCCATCCCAGCCTCCTCCAAGTCCACCGCCAGATTTTGGGTATCGGAAGCTGGAACTCGTCACCACGTCCATGGTCCGGTTACCGCGACACATTCCAGCGGCATACCCACTCTCTTTTGTGTTTTTGCGCATTTTTCCATCTCAAATCTCGATTGTTCCATTCATTCCTCTGAATTACCCATAGCGGGCACTTCCTGGTTTGCTTGAGCGAAAAGGTCGCCGCGCACCGCCGCCATGGCGCCGGCAGACTCCCTCTCCCCGCCGGGGTCGAGTTCCTACTCGTCCGACACCCTGAGCGTGGGCGATGGGACATGGGACTTTACAAAGAATACATTCCTGTTGCCCAATCTCCAAGGGCTGAACTTTGAGACAATGCGGTACAATGGTATGTGACCATACAGTTGGGAACCCACCGTGCTGGATACTAACGGACGGTTTGATAACGTCTAGGCATGGGCAACCGCTTCTCAAGTGTTACCGAATACCACAGTCTCATACTGGGGCATGGCGTCTTGGCCGCCATTACCTTCCTCTTCATTATTCCTATCGCAGTGTTGCTGGCGAGATATTACACGGCACGACCAGGCAGTGCTATCCGCTTCCATGCCTACCTACAGATACTGGCTGTCGCCTTGAGCACCGTTGTGTTCGCGCTAGGATTCTTCGCCGTTGGACCGCCACGAAACCTTACGAACCCTCACCATGGCATTGGCGTCGCCATTTACGTACTCATTCTCGTCCAGGCTCTCGGTGGCCGCTTGATCAAGAAGCTCTCTGGGAGGAGGTCGTTCAGGGTACATCTCCATCGCTGGTTCGGACGGTCTATCGTTCTTCTCGGCATTGTCCAGGTGCCCCTCGGTCTCACGCTCTACGGCTCCCCGAAGTACACCTTTATTCTGTTCGCTATCTGGATGGCATTCTTGCTGTTCTTGTTCTTCTTTTTGGACTTTAAGGACTATGGAAGACGGGAATGGGTCATGGGTGGAGGCGGTGGTGGCACCACTGTGTCTGGGGTGACGAGCAGCAGGGTGACGAGCAGCAGGGTGACTTCGGATCGCAAACCTAGCGGAGGTATGGGTTGGCTGGGTCCGTTGGCTGCTGGAGCTGGTGCCATTGCACTTTTGCGAGGCCGCAAGGACAAGAAGGACCGGGACGCGGAAAGAGCTTTGAGTCGCAGCCCGAGCCCGAGCACGCGGACTGGAACCACACGACCTGCTACCACAGTTCTCTCTTCTCGCCGATCCGACAGCTATTACGATGAGAAACCGGTTGACCGACGTCGCGCAAGTGGAGGTGGCTTCATGAATAAGATTCTGGGCGCCGGCGCGGGTGTCGGTGCTGGTATGCTCATGTCCAAGATGTTTGGTAAAGGCAAAGACAATCGGCGCGACGACTATTCTGCTGTGTCCACCGAAACCCCAAGCCGGACCCGAAGCGGCCGCAGACCTCCTCCTCCCCGGAGCGAGTTCACCCAGAGCGAATACACTGATTATACAGGCTACACCGGTTACACCGAGTCGACTGTGCCCCCGCGGAGACCTAGCCAACGTGATGGACGCCGATCGCCTATCCTTCCTGCTCCCAACCCAGTTGCGGCTGCGGCTGCCTTGAGTGCTGCCGATGAACGACGAGGAGGCCCTATCACGCCCCCGAGACGCTCGCGCACTGGCACATCGAAAATGGACAGCACCGTGGTTACTTCGGATTATTCTTCGTATGTCAGCCCCTCGAGAAGAGCTTCGGAAAGACGACCGAGCACTGGCGGGGGCGGCGCAGGCAAGGGTTTCTTGGCTGGCATTGGTTTGGGATGGCTAGCGAATAGGATGAGCGGCAACAAGAGCAAGCAAGATGACAGAGAGAAGGAACGGTTAAGGGCCGAGGATGAAAGACGCCGGGAAGAGGAAGATGATAGGCGCTCAGGTCGTCGAGGGTCAAGGTATACGGGTGACGGCTACTCTAGTCCAGCTACGCCAAGGAGGGAGCAGTCGAGGAGACGTCTACACAGAAACCGCCCACCCCCATCAGCTGTCACGTATACCGAGACCGCCACCTCGATGCTTTCCGATGAGTCTTCGATTGAACCTCGGGGCACCACACCATACGATCCAGCACCACCTGGCTCTCGACTCCCGCCGCCGTCTAGTGTTGGCACGAGTGTCGCACCGCCTCCAGCTCCCCCTGTGGCAACTGGTCCACCACCTCAAGGGTATCCAGGACCGCCGCCTGCTTATCCGGTAGCGACGGCCGGTGGACCCCCAGCACCTGGTCCGCCTTTCCCAACAAGTGATTCTTCCGGGCCTTCCCATCCAAATTCGAGAAACAACCTCGGCGACCCCATCGCCATGCTACCGATGCCCTCTGACCCTCAGGGATTCCTCCGCCAGGAATCAGACAGCGACGCTTTTAGCTCTCCCAACAGAGGTGGCCGTCGCCGCAGTCGAATCCGAGACCCCCAAGCAGCAGCAGCTGCCGCCGCGGCCACAGCTAGTGCCTTGGCTGCGCAGGAGGACGAGGATCGCCGACGACGGGGGGACCCAGTTGCCAGCGTCAGGATAGGCGTCCGCGACGACCCCGACAGAAACATCACCCTCCGCATGTTGACCGAGGAAGAAGCTCGGCGGGAGCAGCAGCGACGCCGGCGCCAGGACTCGGTCAGCAGTTCTTCTGGGACGGAGACACCGACTAACAGGCGGTATCGACGTGAACCCAGCAGCACAAGAAGGGCTGAATCGGCGGCCGAGCAGAGGGTAGAGAGCAGAGAGAGGGATGACTCTGTGCCACCGTTGTCGACGCCATATGGTGCGGGAAGGAGACCGGGAGGGCCTCCGGGAGGAAAGGATTCGGCTTATTATTCTGGACCTCCTCCGCCGGCGGGTGTGGCACCGCTTCAGGGACAGCCTGGGCCGTCGGGGGGGCCACCGACGAATACAGCTACTGTGACGATGAGTTCCCTTGCTAGTCCGGGGGGTAGTCAGGCGACGTTTACTAGTGGGGATATCGCCGCTATCGACCGGAGGAGGAGGAGGAGAATGGAAAGGCGGGCGCAGGGGGATACGAGTACGAGGGGGGGGACGTCGGTGGATGATTATTGATATTTTGGGGGCATGGCGTTTGGGTTTGGGAGAAAGTGTTTTTGTGTTTTGGGGAGGGGAATATGAGGGATGGTTTGGGGGACATGTCAGAGAAATGTTTGGTTTGGACTGTAAATAACATTTCGGTTTGATGGACTGGTAGAGATGATGGGTTTATTATGTCAAAGTATATGATGAATGTTAGGGAGGGATTGGGTTTTTTTGTTTATAATGAGAATTTGAGAGAGGGGTTGATACCTTTTTAGTAGAATATAATGTCACTGCTCTTGGAACTGGTCACCTTTGAGTTGTCGTGTTGGACGAAGGACGGAGAAAGGGGCTAAGAAAGGGGCGGGCTTGACCAAGTGCTGCAGGGTCTTGAAGCCAAGCGCGGCTGCGCAGGGGAAGCTTTTTAGCGGGTGCCCCGCGTTTTTGGGCGGGGCCAAGGTAAATGCTTGTCTTGGGGTTTGCGACTGCGCGACGCGACGCGATTTTCTTGTTCGGCTTACACTTGAATTCTTTAACGATATCAACATCCACCACCACCACGATTTCCGACCCCATTTATCAGCACGTTCACTATTTCCCATTGAGATACTAGTCACTATAAAATGTCTGAACCACCACCACCCCAACCCAACCAGCAACCCGACCAACAACAAGACGTCGAGATGCTCCCCGCCCCAGACGCACAACCACAACCACCCTCCCAATCCCAACCAGAACAACCCCAATCCCAACCTGATCAACAACCCCCCCACTCGGACCCAACCTCGGACCCAATCCCCTCGGACCAGCTACCACCCTCATCCGAGCCCGTGATCCCCGGCCCCCGCGCGCAGCGGTTAAAACAACTATTCCAACAAACAACAACCCACACCCTCGACAAACTCTCCCCGTCCAACTTCCGGGAATGTTTCCCAACCATTGCAGAAAAAGCGCCAGGGACGCTAGATAATGTCCACAGGCAGATGATCGACCGGCTGTCCACCCTCTGGAACAGGGAGTTTGAGCGGATCCTCGAGTCGAGACAGGTGATTCAGAAACTGAATGAGCTAGAGGGGTTGATAGCTGAGGCTCAGGCGGGGAGGAGGCGGGATGGTGGAGGGGGGGAAAGGCCGGTGCCGCCTCATACGCTTGGTGCTGAGGTTGTGCTTAAGGCTCACCTAAGGGGTTACCTTAGGGAGCAGGAAACAAGGTTGGGGGAGAGGTTACAGGAGGTGAGGGGGGGGAATGGAAGACTATTTGAGGAGGTGTTGGCTCAGAGGAGGGAGATGGAGCGGCTGGTCAAGGGGGTGGAAAATATGGTGGGGGATGTGAGGGGGGCGAGTGAGGTTTTGGGGGGGGTGCTGGCTGGTGAGCTGGAGGAGGAGACGAGGAGGGTGGATGGGGAGTTGGCAAGGGTTGGGGGCGGTTGAAATAGGGGGATGATGATGTATAGGTTGGGAATAAGGGGCTTTGTTTGCCATGTATGGATATATATACCTCCGCTGCCATGACAGGACAAGAACGACAGAGGGGGCGTTTGGGCGTAATTGAACTAGTCAGACAGGGGCTGTGTTCGGTTTTCTCTAGCAATGAAATCAAGCACACTGAAAGTATGGTGGAGGGCACAACCAAAACAGAGCAACATGCCACCATAAAAGTTCATGTGGTTGGGCCAGGCGGTATTAAACAACACATGCCAACACAAAAGTCTCGCTACCGGAACCGGTCAATTATGCTCTTAAATATGTGGTATCTGTTGCGCGTGGGTATATATACATCCAACCAAAAAAAGCAAAACGCATTTTCCTCCTCTTCCCCCCAACAATAAAATCACACGCATGGTATAATGCTCGCCCGACTCGAGACACATCCCTCCCTCCTTCCCGTTCCAGATGCCCCATTTGCTGCAAACGCAAAGATTGTGTCCCAAGTATGCTCCCGATAATTCGAAACCCGCAACTCCGCGCCCAGATATATAGATAGATAATAAAAAGAAAATAACAGTCAAGTGTGAGTATAATGCAAGACAAACATAGAAGGAAATAGTTGCGTTGTGACAACAGGCTTATATCCTCCTGTTCTCGGCCATGATGACCTGCCATGGGCCCATGACGTCGATTTCGCCGTAGGCCGGGGGCAGCACCCGAACCATCTTGCCGCTGTCCCAGTCGACCCACCACCGCTTGCCTCGTGAGACAATGTAATTGCTCTTCCGTGGTGACTTGAATAATAGTACCGCGTAGCACAGACGGGCGTAGAGCTGGTCGTGGGCGATGGTCCAGCCGTGTTCTGGCAGCCATTTTCCGGTTTCCGGGTCGACGTTCTCGTTCGCGTATGATGATATTGATAACCTCGCCATTATTGGGTATTCAGCCGGCCGTGGCCCACGTCCGCCGCCACCTCTGTGATCTGGTGGTTCACCGCCCTCTCCCTCCCCTTCGCTGTCGTCTTCGTCGCTCTCGTCTGGTCTTCTATGATCGGGTTGCCTGCCAAGATGGTCCTGGGGTGGCGGTCGTTGTCCGCGCAAGAACCGTATCCTCTGAATCCGTGGTATGCTGTAGTCCCTGGGGAAATCGCGCTCATCGATGGGTGCAGCCACGTTGAAGGCGGCATAAAGCCTGTCGAGCCATGTGACAAATGTGCTCAACTCGAAACACGACAATAAAAACTGGTCCGTTTCCACTCGTAGCCGAATGACGTAGCGCTTCCTGTTCCTCATGTCAGCTGTCATCCCATCTCATGGCGAAGCAACAGGGTTGAACCCACTTCTTGTAATCCGCCGCGATCCCCGCATCCGCATAGAGCAGGCTGTAGCTCCGCTCCAACGCATGCTTCTTCACCCATGGCGGATTATCAGGCGCAATGTTAGGTGCGTCCGGCTTTGACGACCACCATCCACGCTCCTTCTTGACCGAGTAGACGTTGAGTGCCGTTCCCCGAAGCTCGACATAAACCATCCTCCAGTCTCGATACTCGGCCCGCTTGATCGTGTCCTCCATCTCCATCTTGCGCATAAACACGCCCTCAATATCCAACTCGGATGAGTACTGGGGCAGCCTCTCTTCCTGGTCCTCGACAGCAGCCATCGCCATCACCCTCCTCTCGGCCGCCACAGCAGCCTGCATGGCCGTCTCATAGCTCGGCGGGTTCTTTGGCCGCGACGTCATGACTGCCCGGTAGAACATATCCTCCTCCATGGACATGCGGCGCGGGCGCCCCATCCCCCCTGATGGGGGCGCGTCGCTCGCGTCGCCGCTGTGCTGGGAGAAGGCATCGCCAGGCCTTTGCTCCATGGGACACGTGACACTTTCTGTGATACTGATCACGCAAGTGGTGACGCCCTCCTTTTTGTGAGATAGCTCGAGTCGTCCCCCACTGGCATCGTGTGCACCCCGAACCCCCGTACACCTCCCCTGAGGTGAGTAAAACTCCCTTAAAAGCGGCCCAGCACGATGGCGATGTTTGCGTGGTCTCCCTGCTACGAGTCGGGCTGCTTGAGTCGGCGCGCCCGGTTGCTACGCTGAGCCCCCGGGCGAGAGTTTGAGGCCGGTGATGAACTTGAAATCCAGCGACGCACACTTGCTGGCGGGTTTACCATGCACCGAGTCTGACTTTGAGAGGGATCGGATTGGTGGAGAGACCGCCAAGGCAGGAAAGCTTAGCATATGGGAAGCACCCAAGCCGAGGTGCAAGGGAACCTGTTCTGTGTGTGATGATATAATGGGTGGGCGTAGTGTTAGTCTGCTGCAGAAGATCGGACACTGTACATGAGTGATGATGATGCTTGAGTGAGTATTCGAATGTATGTAGTCGAGTAAAAAGAGTGAGCGAAAGAATGGTAAAAAAAGACAGGCGGCACTATGAATAGGCAATAGGCAATAGGGAATGCAAGGTACTGGCAGGCAGGAGGGCAAAAGAAGTAAAGGGCAACGGGCAAATGATGACGGGAAGCGGAAGATGTGCCCAATATGACTCCTTGGCACAACCGCTGGAGGGGCTGAAAAAACCCACCCGGCTCGCTCGCTTGGGCATCCTCCATCCACAATATCGATGGAACCTCCCTCCCTCCCCACCACAAACCAGATGCTGGGTCTCTCTCTCTTTTGCTGATGGCAGTTTTTTAACAGATGGGAGATGCAGCGCCGAGCCCGTCTCTTTTTTACCCGACTGGGTCGCTGAGATGGCGATGGCTGCAAGTTGTCTCTGGACTTCATTTGGATCTTTCCCGTTGAGCATGGTCCGATTATTACCCCACCCCCAACCTACCGCAAGGTGCCTTCTTCTTCTTCTGAAGATGCCCTGTCGACCGATGGGCGCACCGGGGTTTCGTTGCCAATCACCACGCGAGACAGGGATGTTCGCAGCCATTCCGCGCAGCTAGGCTAGGCTGTTCCGGGTAGGTGGTTGAGGGGAAACGCCATGCCACCCGGGGGCGCCAGATGCCGGGGATCGTCGAGAATTGGCTTGAGTACGGAGTACAGTCGTTGAATAATAACATAATAACTACATAAACTACGCCGCACGCTTCATGATACCCAATCGCCTAATACGTCCTTTTTGCCCATCGCTCTCCCCGACCCAAACCAAGCACACAACAACCCCGTGCCGCACTCATGCTCTCCCAGCTAGAGTTTTGCCTTCTAGAAGGCAGGTCAATCGACAGGGTGCGGGACGAAATGGCCTTGATGGGTGAGCGAGCTGAACTTGGCAGGTCGCAAGCTGAAGACAACTTCCGGCACCGACAGGCCCTCTAAGCCATCTCATCACCCTCTGCCGATCAATCTATCACCATCTCGATAGAGCACTCCGGGGCTGGCCTTCCGTGTGTGTGCGATACCGACTCCCCTCTCGGCACCGGCAGTCTGCAGTTGTTTTTAAAAGAGAATGACAAGCAGTCAAGCAGTCAAGCAGTCAAGCAGTTGCGGGGACCCGCCCGAGTGGGCCTTCTCTGGGCCCCATTCATTACATTCAATTTTCTTCATCCAAGTGTGTGCGGTGTTCCTTTTGGGAAGGTGGGAGTAGAAAAACACAACCATGATTCGGCTCGTCGGGGGATTGGACCGGTCCTTGAGACTCCTCTTTCTTTCTCTCTCCCTCGGTGCCTCGCTCCCTGCTGGCTCCCTCGTTTCTTTTTCTTTTTTTGGGAATTCATTAGCTGCTTGCAAGTCCCGAAGCATTGGCGATAGTATCGCTCCGCCAGTCTGGATCCAGCCTGGAGACCTTTGCACCAGACAGGAAGGCGGATCTCACTTTCGCATGATTTGCAAATCTGGACTCTCAATCCTCATTTTCTTCAGAAGGATATTGACGGCTTACTTCCATATACGAGGCTGGAGAAGGCTCCTCTTGTGGATCGTATTACGTATGTTTGTTGACCCTATCCGTTAGGTTACAAACGACAACGGAGCAGAGAGCACGGCATAAAACATGCTTGTATAAAATAGCACCAACTCTCACCGCGTGGTGTAACACTCCGGCTCAGTGTCAGGTCAGGGGTTACATAGCAGCGACACGTAGTTAGTCAGCGGAGATGCTTGCTGTTTCGAGCCTCGACAGGAAAAACACACATCCCTTATTCTGTTTCGAGTCACACCTTGATGGGCACTCACCTACCGGATACAGACTGTAGTTTTGCGTCGAGTTGTACGAACCATGGTTTGGCCGCGCGGCTGTCTGGACTGAATGTCACAGGCCGAGATACCAGCATGTCGAGGCGATCAGCACCAGATCAGGAGAGTCCTTCAAGGTTGGCCATCAAGGTTCATCTAAGCTCCAGACATCTCGAACCACGAGGTTGACCTATCTATGTATGTCCAACAGACAAACAACAAGACGGAGCAAAGATAACACCGCGCACCCAGATATCTTACACCTCCCTCTCCCATCCAAGTCTCGACAAACTAAGCCTTTCCCGACAAGCTCTTCCGACAACAGGCCCGACTATCTGTGCCCAAACGTTTTGGCCGCACGCCCACATCCCGCCCTCTCGCAGGAACTAGCCCAACCAGCCCCTACCCCACAGCCTCGGAAACATCACGGGCGAGACTAGCAACTGGTCAGTGCTACTTACGCCATCGTCGGTTTGCTCTCCAAAGTGCCGGTCTTCCATGTGGGATGGGTAACTACCTGGTATGGGTTTGGCTTGTTTCCGGGGGCGTTATCGGATCCTGACCCACCACGACCACCCTATCACCGTCATGTGCTGCGGGATATAGGACTATTGGGGTTCAAGCAGGGCATCAGTGGCTTGCTTTCTCTGGCAGATGTACTCTCCCTGAGCCTCTGCCGAGGTAGCCGTAGGAAAGATGAGAGGTTTATCGACGTGAAGTGACTCAGCTACACCGATTCGAAAGACAGAGACACACAGACCGACATGGCAGCTGTCATATGAGAAGCTATCAGCCATACCCGCAGAATCTTTTGTGGAAATATAATCATTAGCATATCAAGACCTAGACTACTCAAACAAACCTTCCTACATGAACTGAACCAGGCCTGAGTCTGTGAACAGAGAAGTACCTAGCACATATCTCTCAACCAAACACAGCAGAGATATGGTTCTGATACATGACACAGCTGGTTATCAGTGTCATACATGCCTCTTTAGGATCTGACGTGCTTCACATCGCTATTACCTCTTGGAACTTTGACATGTCGTGCCCTCGTGGCCGTTTTCTGAATGAAAACGATGCTCCAATGATCATCAGCCTCCAGTCAGCTGGGAACTGATCCTGTCTCTTTATCACCCCAACAGAAAACCGATGAAGTTTGCCGAGCAACACATTTCGGAAGCCCCTATTTCTACTTGGCTTATCACGCCGGAACCCTCGAAAAATGCTCTTTCACCACGCTTAGCCACCTCGCCACGCGCTCGCCCATAAAATCCATTTCATACATCCTCCTCAATATCAAACGCCCTCTCCTGATTCAAAGCACTTATCAACCCTCACCATCCGCCCAAAAAACCGTCCTCTCATTACCCAAACAGGGAGGCGTTTTAACCTTTCCGAACACCCCCTTTTTCCACACTAGTTCGACGTCCACCAGCTGTCAAACAAAGCCACATCCACAATCCAAAGCCTTCAGCTCCAACCCAACCCCAGCCCAGTATACAATCCCGAGTCCCAAGTTTAGCATTCCGTGGGCGCGGTAGTACAGCGGTTAGTGCATTTCCGAGTTTGAGCGAAGACCCAGGTTCGACTCCTGGCCCGTCCACAAACAGCGTTTGTTTCTTTCCAGCGTTTGCTTTTTTTCTTTTTTTGCCCCAACATTATCATCATCATCACCAGTCTATGTCTCCAACAGCATTGATTGCCTCCTCCTTTATCGTGAAGCAGAACACGTCCAAGACAAGAAGACCCAACGGAACATATAGGCTTCAACAGTAAACTTCGCAAAAAGACGACGAATACAACACACGCTAACTCCCAACACCAGGGAACGGCCATTGCAGTGTTTTGACAACATCCCTTGACAACTCCCACCTGCCTACCTGCCTGGATGTTCTCGAAAACAAAACAAAAAAAAAAAAAAAAAAAAAAAAGGAAAGAAAAGAAAAGAAGCAGTTGAAGAAGTGATGATGAGCTGTTTTACCGTAATTGCACCGGCTGAGAAAGCTCAACATAACAATCAACAGATCTGAAAAACGAGATCGAAAAGCCAGACGAGTGGCTAGCTCTATTAGATGTCTAGATAGTCAAGATGACACAGCCTATATCTCTACGTCCATTTATCTAGCCGTCTGGCTATTCACACCCTCCCTACAGAAGAGCAAAGGTAAGTTAATCAATATCATATTGTGGACCATGCCTCGAAGGATAATCACTAAGCTACCTTATTAAAGATACTTAAAAGGCGTATTGATTTGCTTTTGAGGCATGGTTTATATTACAACCTAAACACCAACTAAAGTACCCCGACTTTAAATCACCAAAAGCAGAATCCAAGATGGAAGTCCTTGGCTCTTGTAGTGGTGGTGCCTCACCTCTCTTCATGCCCACTCAAATAAAGCTTCCTTACATCCAACATCTTGCCCAACACCATATCTCTCCTTCCCCAGACAGATCACAAGACAGCCATATCAAGTTGAGACAGAATCTTTGCAAATAATATCTCGCTTTTAACAATACACATCTTTTTAAACCTCCCTAATCTAAGGTACTAACTATTCCCTATCCCATACCGTACGGTCCCCTTCAATCCACAAGCAAGCTAAAACGATACTGTCTCAACACGCTTCGTCCCCCTTCCTCGCCTTTTGCCTTTCTCCCCCCCAAACGTAATTACTCGTACAAGGCCCACCCCGCCCTCGATTGGGAAGAATGTTGTAATGGTGATGTGTAGAGGTTGTCTCCATCTCCTTTTCAGGCATACTCCTTCTGGGCCCCATTGCCTTCATTTTCCGTACCATGTCGTACCATACCGTACACCAGGTCAACATTTCATGCCGTGTCTTTTTCCTTTTTCCACACCAACCTTTCCCACCCGCATTCATCCAGCCAGTCCGCCCCGCCAGTGAGGTATACAATGCTACCGTTTTCCGTTTCCCCCAACGCTGTAACGATGCCGCAAAACCATGACAACCTTTTGATATGTGTGTGATGTGTGTGCAAGGGGCGTGTTTGGGGAAAAGAGTGACCTGTGCAAGTCAAATGCACGGCCCAACTAGCAACGAGAACAAGAATAACAGCAGCAGAAAAACACACACAACTCCACAACACTGCACCGCCAGATTGCCATCAAGAGAAAAAAAAAACCATGAATCTTGACCATTTTGCCCTTTCCTAACTAATCAAACCCCGTGACTCCATGACGCACCAAGAAGAATGCCCGCCCTCCCCTCAACTCCGTCGTATGGCGTGTGAAGATGGATGCTAGGCTTGTTGACACTAGCAGCTCACCTTGGAACCTTTTCAAGATCATGGACAGTAAATGTGTCTTTGATCAGCTTGTGAACTCGCGCTAAGCAGCAATCGCCGTCTAGGCGTTGGCCTGGGAAGCGCCGCGTCCGCGAGGGGCACCGCCGCGACCACCACGGCCCTGTCCAGTGAAGCCACCACGGCCGCCGCCTTGGCTGCCGCTGCGCTGAGACTCGTACCCGCCGCGGCTACCACGGCCACCGGTGGCACCACCACGAGCGGGGTAGCCGGCACCGCCATAAGCGTTCGACTTGGGACGACGGGGCTCAACGACGATGTTCTCGCCGTTCACAGTGTGGGGGTTGGCAGCGGCAGCAGCATTGTAACCGGCCGGGGTCTTGAACTCGACGAAGGCGCAGTTCTGTACAGCTGGGTTAGTCTGGTTCATTGACGTTCATCTAAAAAGATATCGCTTACCTTGGTACGGTTGATGTCGAAGTACACGACCTCACCGAAAGCCTCCAGGGTGGCCTTGAGATCGGCCTCCTTCACCTTATCAGTAACAAATTTGATATAGGCAAGGGTTCCCTCCTTCTCGGTCTGAGTAGCGGCAGCGGCAGGCTGAGCGCGGCTCTGACGCTTGGTCTCAGCGGTCTGCCACTCGCTACCCTGATCCTTGGGGGCGACAGGGGCGGCCTCTGTGGACTGAGGAGCGGTAGTAGGGGCCTGAGCAGGAACAGGAGCACGCGCCTGAGCAGCAGCAGGAGGAGTCGCAACCTTGGGAATGACAGGCTTGGGAGCCGCGGCAGCAGCAGAAGCAGCCAGGCGACTAGCCCAGGTCATGGGCTTGGGGGGCTGCTGGGGCTTGGGGGGCTTCGCAGGCGCGGGAGCGGCAACAGGAGCAGCAGTGGCAGGAGCCGCGGGGGTCGGTGCGGGATCCTTGGGCTCCTCGGGCTTCGCAGCCGCCTCCTCGGCAACTTCCTCGACGACCTTCTCGGGGGTGGGCTGGGTCTCAGTCTTCTCCTCAACAACTGGTTCTTGGGTCTCGACAACAGGCTCGGGAGCAGGAGCCTCGGCGGCAGCGGGAGCGGGGGCTTCCTCAGCAGCCTCCTCAAGCTTCTGAGAGATAGCGGCGGTGTCCAACTCAGCTGGCTCCTTCTCCTCAGCGACAGGCTCCTCGACAGGAACCTCAGGCTCGGCGGCGGGCTCGGCCTCGGCCTCGACGGCTGGGGCAGCCTCGGTGGCAGCAGGGGCCTCTACTGGAGCCTCAGCGGCGGCCTCAGTCTCCTCAACGGGCTCATCGACGATATATCTCAGGATGTCGTTGAGGACAAAGTAACCCGAGGGCTGCTTGGCAAGGACGAAGGACTGGACGAACTTGCGGGGCTCGGCACCCTTGCTGGAGATCTCACCAATGACCTGGATGAGGATGTTCTCGGCAGACCCTTGGGAGTCGACGTTGGAGATGCGGACCTTGGAATCCTCAAAGTCCAACTGCTTGATGCGCTCTTGGATGTTCTTGGCAGACAGTTAGCTTCGAGAGGCTCAACACCTAAACACAAACCCAATTGGAAAGTCTTACAGGTCTGTTGACGCAGACAGTGGTGACCTCAGCCTCGGCACCGGCGACGAACTGAGACTTCTTGCCGTAGAAAAGCTACAATTGACCGTTAGCCCACCAAGCCACTGCACCGCCAGAAATATCCGCAGACTCACGTGAAGCTTGTTGGGGTTCTTGCTCAGGGTTGTGTAGTATTGCTCAACAAAGTACCAGCCAATCTCATCCTTGGGGAGGTCGCTCTGCGAGTTCTCGATCTGGGGAGTCGACTCTGTGGTGGTTGGGCCGGTAGCAGCGTATTGCTCGTGGTGATTAGCATTACCGTTTGTCGACATGATTGCTGTTGTTTTTTTGTGTGTGATGATTAAAGAAAACAGAAGTGATGACGACGAGGGAGATGGAAAATCACGGCGCGGGCGTGGGGTAGAGTCGGACGAGACTAGGCTTTGTGTGGCGCCGGAGAGAAGTGAGGATATCTCTGGAAATGGTGAGGTCAGCGGAAAGTGGAGAAAAAAAAGACGCATCGAGGGGCAGAGAGGGGCATCTTGGATGGAAGAGAGCAAGATCGGAGGATGGAGCACACGCACTCTTTTTTTGAAGCCGGCTCCGAGATCAGAGCTGGTTTGGCAACGGAGCTGGGCTTCGGTTGCGTTTGCAGAAAGTGCACCAGGGCGCGGGATCGGGATCGGAGAGGGGAAGGGCTTGTAGAGAAAGAAGAGAAGAAGCTCGCAGAGATGGAGGGGGAGATGGCAAAGACGGATTGGGTCGATGGCTAGAGTCGACGGGATGGTCGATGATTTAGTGGAAGATGGTTTGAATTCTCGAGGTGGAGCTTCTCCAGAGTGGAAAGGGTGACCTGGTGTTGTTCAGAGCGGCTGCGGCAGTCGCGAAACTTTGGGAATCAGGTCGATGGATTCTTGAACACACGCAGAAAATTGATTTGCGTAAGGTCGGGCCGCCTGCCCCCACACTGTGTGGCCGCGGAACTTGCCTTTCAGGTTGCTTCACCACCACACTTCCATAATAAACTTCAGCCATCGGTAGCCAACTCGCCACCAATTGTGTTTTTAGTTTCTGTCCTCAGTACTGGTGATATTGAGATTTGATGCTTATCTATAGAGGATTCTGCAGCGGCATCTGATCTGATTTGAGCTCGGAAGGGAAGCTCTGCTTGAGAAGAACAGTGATGAGAGTTTGACTACCTATCACCAGGTAGCCCTTTGCTAAAGATTAGTCAGAATATTCAATCTTACAGCAAGGTGCTTCTCTCCATCTCGCTAGGGCAAGGTACTACGCCATTGACATACACATGTGACTACCTTCGGCAAAATAGCTATAGGGCATGCTGAAGATTGCCTCGAAACTGTGCGTACCCGCTGTCGATCAAAGCTCTCAACACTCTGTCTGCATGAGGCAACGCAGAGTTCCCCGCAAGAAGCAGCTGCAGTCAAGAGAGCTGAGAACTTTGTCAGTATGCAAGTTCAATGCTGATCAAGACGGAATGGCGGGTCCGGAAGACGGGGCCCTTGACTCGGGCCGGAGCTCTGGCTCCTGTACCCCGTCCGATGCTTGGCAGATGGCCGGCCCGGAGTCCGGGGTTTTGTTTTCGGGGAGGGGCAGATACTGGCACTGGCCGACCCCGAGTGGGCCGTAATGTCGGTCATGGATGGATGCTCAGAGTTGCAATTTCACACCAACTTAAAAAAAGGCAAAATCTGCTGGAAAAGAAGCATGGCAACCTAGCATAAAGACCAGATACGCGAGGAATCGTCGGTTTATAGATCTAATGGTTTTGTCATGCCACAACCGACTTTGTCTGATTTCGATCCTTACCCTGATGCTGATAGAGATCCGCCGCAGATCATATTCAATGCGTGGCTTGTTGGTGAACCAGGGAGCCAGGGTCGGAAACTGATGTCCAGCAGCAAGCTATCGCCGTCGTTTGAAGAAACCGATCCTCGATCAAACGACTAGGTGAGTTCGAATCTCGCGGCGGGGCACTGCTACCACATCATCCGGATCTATTGAAACCAAGCCCACCGTGAAACACGATAGCCTCCAGCCAAACATCACCGTTGCATCGTAATGATCGTTCTGGCGACAGCAAGGCGCAAAATCTGGCCAAATTTTTCTGTGGACACCTGTGCCGTGTCAAGTCAGCAACTTACAGCAGGTAAACAAGCACATGCTGTCAGAAACCCCAATACTCCAAGATACCAAGGCTGCGTCACAGGTGTCACCCCGCATCTTGCTGGCGTTAGTGCCGCCGGATGGCAGCTGCCGGGCCTGTGCACGCCGCAGCGCATTGACAATCGGCGCATCGGCCGGTTTAATTGACCCCCGGAAGAGCAGCGGGTGTTCCGGATACCTGCGCCAGAGTTGCAGTCGTGGCTAGCGACAAGTCACAGCTACTCGGATAGGAATGGCGGGGAACCTGGCGGAAGCACGCGAGATCCCAACGGCGCTATAGTTTCCACGATGCCCACTGAAATGCTGGCAGCTTCCCACCTCACTTGCTTCAGCTTCGAATCGCCGGAGCTTTTAGAGCTGTGGGTAATTGGCCGTTATTTCCGGGGTCCATCAGCCATCTGCCATCTGGCCAGGCAGCTCCCCATCTGCTTCAATTTCACCACCGAGCCCCCTACGTTCTCTCTTATTTTTTTGATATCATATCACATCACAAGCGGGTGCCGATCGCGGATCATCTCTCGTTGGCCTTTTTTTATGCCAAGCTGTCCTTGTGTTCACGTCTCTCAGGGTACAAGAGACCGAGGCTCCCGTTTCTCAGGAACAAGTCCCAAGCCCTCAGCTCACTTCTGGCCCTTGAGCAACTAACTCCCCATTATTTATTACTAATCACCCTATATCATACCGTACTCTGCCGTCTTTTTGCCACCAGCAGTGATGCCGTATCACGCTGCTGCATAGCATAGCATGCGCACGCCGTTGCGAAGCGAATGCGACCTGCCTGATGGAAGCTTCCGAAGAGTGACCGCCATTTGTCCGCCATCTCCCCTCTATCGACGAAGTGGTTTCCCTGCTCGGTTAACTACCGGCGAGTCCCCGCCAATATCTGGAGTAACGCAGCAAAACTGAGCGCGAGGGCGGGGATGCGGGCGGCGAGTTGAATACCCATTCTGGCCTTTTGTTTACGAGAACACCGAAATCAACCATGGTTTACTGTGGAAAGGCATCACAGGGCTGCCAGAACTGTCGAACGAGACGCATCAAGGTGAGTTTTTACGTATTAAGCCCCATGCCCTGACATCAGACTACATATGCCAGACACTACCAGGCAGGGCCCGGCCCAATCCGCAGCCGCCCATGTGGCCCAGAGCTTCGGGTCGTGTTCCCGCTATAGATACCTGCCTGCGGGCTCCCCTGGTGGTCTGTCATCTGTCAGATCTGTGTCGTGTCAAAGGATTGAAGATCAGTGTACCGGTGGAAGGGTTCTGGATCTTGTGCTGACGGACATGTGGTGCCTCGCAGTGCGACAAAGTCCGCCCTCAGTGTGCGCAATGCATCCGGGTGGGTAAGCCATGTCCCGGGTACCGAGACCAGCTCTCGTTGATGTTCCGGGATGAGAGCAGCAAAGTCATAAAAAGAGCACACCAGCAGTGGGGTGTGCCGGATACATCCGAACAGGGAGAAGGGTCAGGATCTTCGCCAACGCCATCAACATCTTCATCTTCCTCGGCCACCTCGCCAACGTCGACATCAACAGCATCTCCAATTAGTATACGACGTCGGCTGGCAGCCTCCCAATCACCACAATCGGCATCATCGGCGATCATCTTCAAACGAGAAGCCCCCGAACTGGGGTACAGAGTGCCCACGGAGATATCCATCAATGCCGTGGACAGGGCTATTCAGTTTTACATTGAGCATTATGTGATTGGACTTCCAGATGAGCCAAAGGTCGGGCAGGAGCTTCAAGGAAGGCCATGGGTCCACTCAGCAGTAACGCGAGAAATCATGGCAGCCGTTGGGCTGGCCAGCTTGTCCAACATTAACGGCGACAAGAAATTCAGTACGTTATCGAAACAACACTATGGGCGTGCGTTGCACAATATTTCGTCCTCCATCATGGCCAGGCATGTTCCGGAGCTTGACCTCGATGTCATCCTCCGAGCTGTAGTCATGATGGCCATGTACGAGGTGAGTACAGTACCTCAGTTTTGAATGCTGGTTTCTGCTAACGCCGAATCAAGGTTGTTCGCGGAAGAGACGAGAAGCCAGCCCCTGGAGCGCGAACTCATATCATGGGCGGTGCTGCCATTCTAACAAGCTTTTTGCCCTTTCACCAATCGCAATCTGAAGGTCTCCGCGGGCTCCTCCAGCTGTGCTTTTCCATGATAGCGTCGACCCAGGGCGCCTTCCAGTACACGTCACCAGAACCAAACAACATGATCCCCTCCCGACCAGAGCCACAAACCGGCGAAGGAGGCCTACCCCCACCATTCCAACAATGGCTTTCCATGGGCGCCAACATGGCCACACCAAAGGAGATACCATCGACCGAACTTATCCTCCCTGTGGTAGAGTTCGTCAAGCTATCAGGCTATGTACGAAGCCAACACTTTATCGACGGACAGCAAGCCACCACCGACATGATCGGCACAGCTCTTGCTCTAGACGCGCAGTTTGGCGCCTGGGAGGATCGCCAGGACGGACCATGGACCGTCATCGAAGAGCAAGTCAGCGACAACTTCTTCCCACCAGATGCGGTCTTTGAGGGCCGTTATCACATCTACACCGACATGTACTTTGCCCGGATATGGAATCATTACCGCTGGGCGAGAATTATGCTCAGCCAGCTCCTCATCGAAAGCGTCCAGCGCTTCCCGAGCAGCAGCTCGTCTCTTATATCCGACAAGAAAATACAGCAAATACAAGACTGCCTTGTCCGTCTTGTGAGGGACACACTCATCTCCATCCCAACACACTACCGGCATCCAAACCTCCAACCTGAACACCTCGAATACTTTGACAAAACGCAAGGCGGCGCAGTGATTGGTATTGCAGGAATACCGACGTTATTATTCGAGATCAAAGTCGCGGGAGTGGCGCCCGGGATACCGAGGCATTACCGAACGTGGGCGATGGGGATACTGGAGACGATATGGGCCAAGATGGGGATGTACCAGTCGAAGGTGTTGTCGGGTATGCTGGCCAAGACTATTGAGCCGGAGGGGTCACCAGAAAGGGGGTCGCCTGTTTGGATCAAGGAGGAGGGATATCCATGAGAACTGGGTTGTATATGAGGTCACCAAAGTGTGTTTATACTCTGCTTAAAAGAGTACCACTGCCTCGGAGTTGAATCTTTCAGGATATCTGAAGATGAAATCGAAAATATTCCCTTCACTACCTGAAATCCAAAGACCTGGCCGTGACCGTGATGTGTGATGAGCAAAAACAAACCACAGGCTCATCATCTCCTGTCCACCTCTAGCACTCAAGCATGGACACCCATCCCTGCTCGCTCCTTCCCTATGCTGATGTCTGCACCTTCCCAGAACAGAACGACGGTTTATATATCAGGTCAACCACCTACCTTCCAACAGCAGCTCGAGAATCTTGGTTAGGGCGCCACTGACTCTGTGGTCAGGACAAATGGTCAAGTTGTAAGAGCTGCTGTTACCGCCCCCCAGCCGGGGGCTTGCAACCGATAAGCCCCGACTTCGATTCCGAAGTAAAACCCCCCGTAGGGTTTTCGTAGCTGGCCACCCTCAAGGTTGGCCGGTGAGCTTTTTGCTTTTCTTCCTCTACTTTTGAAACAATGCCTCCATAAAACACCTGTCATACACTGGCGAGATGCGACATCTCCTCAGAAGTGCTGTGTTGTTCTGCAACTGCCAACAAGCAAGACTTTCAAGATTAGGTCGTTGCCGTTGTCCGCAGAGCGACTCGATCATCTCACGATCATACCAACACCTCACACATTCCCAACCAAAAGCAAAATACACTTGAAAGAAATTTCCTCATGGTACAATTCGTTCGCTCCCCTCCCAAATCTATCTCTAGCCATACTCTCTCCCGCTTTTTTATCTTTCCCAAACACCACGCGAAGTAAAACAAAAATATATACACAACAGGCCGATAAACACCACCCACCCCCAAATTCCAATCCCAAATTCTTTTCCTCAAGTCTCCTAATCCTGATTAATCTGACTCCCATCAACCCGGCTCCTATACTTCTTCCCCTCCTCCCCCTTATCCACCCTCCACGTCTCCGCCCTCCCAAAACTCTCCTCGCTCTCCTTGTAAACCCCCCTCTCGCTCCTCAACCGCAAAATCTCCTCCCTCATCCTCCTCGCAACCTCAATCCTGATCTCCCTCGCCTCTCTGCCGTTGCGTAACTCCTCACTCGTCAACTCGCCCACCTGTCGTTGCCCATCCCCATCCCCATCATCTGTCTGTTCAATCACAGCTGTCTTCCACAACCACCCCACCGTTTTCGTCGTATTCCCCTTCTTAGTCTCCCTCCTGACAAGCTCATCCCACCTCGCCTTCAAGTCCCCAAACGTCGCCTCATAGTCCAGCACCCCCCCAAAAGTAACCCTCACCGTCTTGCCCACCCTCGGCAAAAACTTTGGAAACCCCCTGTCCTCCGCCATGCACTTTTGCGTTCCGTCGATAAACATGGGGACAATATCCGGGCTTGGCTCAGACTCCAAGATGAGCCTCGCGACGCCCCACTTGAAGTACCGCAAATCAACATCGGGGTGTTGATGGACCAGCCCCTCGGGGAAGACGTGCACCCAGCTGTACCGGCGGTGTTGGGGGTGCGTTAGCGGGGAGAGGATCGAGTCGGTGCCGGTGGTGGTGTAGTAGGGTGATGCGGGAGGGGAGGGGGACGGGTGGGAGAGGAGGCGGATGGCTTGCGTCATGCAGGGTTGGAAGAGGCCGCCGTGGGGGGAGTGTTTTGATCGGTGGCAGGGGAGGACTTGGCCGTGGGTGAAGAAGGAGGAGAAGAGTCTAGGACAAAGGGTTAGTGAGATACAAGGGGGGATATTGGGGAGGGGGGAACAAACTGGTTCTTGAAGCAGATGTCATGCGCCCCTAATGTCCAACGGAGGTTGTTTGGGTTGAAGGCGTATGAAAGAGGCAGCAAACCCCATACCATGGGGTCGTCAAGACTGGATTAATCATGAGTTTCAACCTCATCTTGTATCACAGCATTTGAAGATCATCACTCACACGCTGACATGGTTGGAAACTAAGAACCACATACAAGTCAGCGGACTTTGGTATTACAGTATAAAAATATATTAATACAGCAGAGGATAAAACTGGGTGAGAAAATACCAGTTAACAATCCCCTCTCCCTCTTCTCCGGATCAGCCCGGCTGTCCAACAGCTCCCTGAACTGAGCCAGCCCGTGCGTCTCTACCGTGTTGAACCCGTGCAGGAAGCAGCGCGAGATCAGACCCGTGATCCCCATAATCACCGACGACTTTACGCGCATCGACAGGCTCGGCATCTGTGCCGGCGGCCGCGACGGCGACATTTCGCGGAGTTCTTGGGATTGTTGTTCTGACATTTGAGTTTTACGATACTCGGGGGGGATATTAAAACTCAATGTTGTATTATCAATGGCGATGTGTAAGTGAGATATATCTGTGGGTGAGGTGAGTTTATAAGTTAAGAGGGAGACAAAACGGCCGGATGGTTTGTTGCCCGATGTAACACTGTGACGGTTAAAAACAGGAAGGAGTTAGAGATTTTTGTTGAGGCCCCCGAGAAAAAGAGCAGCGAAACTGGTGGTCTATTGCATTGCCGAGGGGGAGGAAAGTGGGAAAAAAGAGAGAGCAAAGATAAAAGATATGGGAATCGTGAAGAGACCCGACCGTAAAAGAGGACGGGGTGTGAGTGATGTGATGGGCAAAAAAGCAAGAAACGGCGCAGGACCAACAAAAAGCTTCGAGTTTCTCTTCAGCAGGTTTGTCAGTCGCCCACCACGAGGAGGGCCCACACACACACACACACACACACCCTTCTCTCTTCAGAGCGATCGGAAAGATGGAGACAAAGTTCAAAATCGCGGCCCGCAACAGAAAAGAACGCGACCCGCGCCGATTTTAGCATGTGCCCTGTCGCCTCCCCTGGTAAAAGGACAAGGGGGGGTTTAATGCCAAGCTTCCCCAGGATTGAAATCGACCCACATTTATTTTGACAGCAGCTCTGATGCTGGTTGAGACTTCTTCCCAACATTGAGATCTCAGCAGTTGATATCGACACGCGCAAATATGGCACACAGTAAGTCATACATTTTATTTGAGATTCAGCCATGCAAGCTAACCCTCCAGGCAAAAGAAACACCACCCGCCCAATCTTCACCTCCCACGAGCGGGCCATGGCTCGCGCGGCCTGGGGTGATTCCACCGCCCGTCTCGGCCGCGACTCCTTCCTCCCGTTTGCCTCCTGCTGGCTATGTCTAGAGCCCGCCATCGATCCAGTCGCATGCACCAACGGCGACTTATTCTGCCGCGAATGCGCCCTGAGCAACATCCTCGCCCAAAAGAAAGAAATCAAACGCAATGAAAAGGCCCGTGAACAGGAAGACAAGGAGGCTCTGGAGGAGCAGGCGCGTGCCGATGCCGAGGCCGAGGCGAGGGCAATTCGGGAGTTTGAGTTGACACAGGCCGGGCTGAGTCTCAAGCCTGCTGCTCGAGCCGATGGGAAGAAGTCGTCAACGTCAACATCAACACCAATGGAAAAACCGCCACCTGAGGCAACACCATCGGAATTAAACGGGACACCTGATCCTACTGCGAAAACGGGCGAGAAACGCAAGTTTGCCCTTGACGAGGACGAATTAGCACGTATTGCATCCGAGGAAAGAGCCAAGGCAAGAAAGGCGATTGACAGTGAAAAGGTACGGCCACCTTCAAGGCATATGTTTCAACTGGATAAATAGCTAACATCAAATCAGGCCGCAAAACCAACACTGCCCTCCTTCTGGTCCCCATTCGTAACGCCCTCCTCCAACAAAAACAACACCCTCCACGAAGTCAAGAGGAAGACCAAAACCCAACCAACTTGTCCCTCGAGCTCACAAGACAACCCCCACTATTACTCCCTCCACACTCTCGTAACAGTCCACTTCACCGAAGAAACCGACTCCTCCACCAAAAAGACAACAAGAATATGTCCCGCCTGTAAAAAGGGCCTGACCAACTCATCCAGAGCCACTCTCGCAAAGCCATGCGGCCACGTCCTTTGCAAGAGCTGCGTCGACCAGTTCATGAAGCCTTCCTCCTCCAAGTCATCAGAACCGGTCTTGTGTTATGTCTGTGAAGCTAACCTGACAGAGTCCAAACCCAGCAAGAAAGAGAAGGAGGGCAAAGAGAAAGAAAAAGTACGTCCCGGCCTCGTCGAGCTACGCAGAGAAGGTACTGGCTTTTCTGCGGGAGGAGCCAACACGGTCAAAAAGGACACTGTAACTTTTACCGTGTAGATGTTTTATCCGGAACGCCCGCAAATACCCAATATTCTTCTATATAACAATCAATGCATTTCATAATCGGCGTCACCTCATCATTGATGCCCCAATCCTCCCGCCTTTTACCAGATCCGCCAGCACTCCCATCCCAACCAGTTGCCAGCCCCCTTTCTCATTTCTCTTCCTCATCCTCTCCACCAATATCCTCTTCAAAGCAGGCCATTGCACCAAGAACCCAGCCACGATGTAATACAGCTTAATAATAACCCCGTGCACCACATCCTTTGTCAGCATTGTTGTCCCGTGGTTAAAGAAACCCTTCAACAACTCGCCTCCAATCCCATCATACAACGCCCTGACCCCCTCCTCCCTTCGTATCCTCGCCACAGTATTAAAGATCCCACCCCTCTTCTCCTTTTCACCCTCACCCTTACTACTCTTATGCCCCATCTGCAGCCTCGCCTTTCCAATCTGAAACGGGTAGGTAACAGCAGTAGCGCCAACTTTGCTCATCGCCGCCAGCAAAAAGGTGATCCCGCTCCCCGGATCGTCCCACTTCTTTCTGTCGACCAACACCCTCTTCAGTATCGCCTGCAAGAAGAATGTCAAGCTTGGGTTGAGCGTCAGGACCAAAGATGCTGAATACCCAGCCCACAGTCCAAGAACACCCCCTTTCTCAGCCTGAATCTCCCTCAGCACCTCCCAAAACCCCTTTTGCGTTTGTTGTTTCCGTGTAGGTGAGGAAGGCGGCGACCTATCCAGCAACGACGCCGTCTGCCTCCGTGTGACAACGTTGCTCACCGGGGTGGTGAACAACTTTGCGCAAGCCCCCGCTGCAGCCCCCACCGCCAGCTCCTCGACAACTCTTAGATATGGCAGATCCGGATGTCGGCCTACGAGGCGTCGCGCGCGGAACCACTATCCCAACCTATGTCAGCATTTCCCTACTATTATCAATGGTTGGGGGTGGGGGGACTTACGGTATAAAACAAAAAGAACAGAAATGAATCCACCGCTGATTTGAGAACATCGGCGCTCAAACCGGCAAAGAATGCCGGGATCCCGCCTTCGGTGTCGTAGATCTTGACAAAGGCGTCAAAGACGGAGCGGTAACACTCGTCTTCGGAGAGGGAGTCGTCGAGGCGGAGCTGGCGCTGGACTTTGAGGCGGGTGTTGACTAGGTCGAGGGGGTAGGTAAGGAGGGTGGAGATTACTGTGCCGGCCGCGCCGGAGGAGGCGTGGCCTAGGGAGGGGAGGAGTTTGGATGCTCGTGGCATTCTGTGAGTGTAAAATGATGGGACAGACAAGGCGACAAGTGGGAGGTGATAGAAAGATCAGAAGGGAGCAAGTAAATTGGGGGAGGAAACGGAAAGATTAGGTGGTCCTTGTCAATTCATATAGGTACAGGACAAAACTATCGTGAACCTCGGTAACATGCATGCTCTTTTCCCGTTGCAATGGACATGAACGCATCGGCCATGCATGTTTGTGGGGGGGGGGGGGAGCTCGGAGTGTTTGAACCAACGACGTCATCCCGCTTCTTAGCGTGCTGGACCACCCCCCCTGGGTTTGTTCGATTGTGGGGTGCATGAGGGTTGGTGATCAACGATTTTTGCGACACCCAATCGTGGATTTCACATGTTATATGTATGAGAGGATGCAGGTACGATAAGTTTCAAAGCTTAAAGGATCCTTTTGTGATATAAGATGGATTTTGAAATAGGTCTGTTGCCCGAAATCCGTTGCATCTTCTCACATGCTTATATTGGGGTTTCTGAAAGTATTTGGACAGCTAACGAATCAATCTTTTGGAAGCTTTTTGATATGGAAGTTGAGAAGACTTTATTGAGATATTCACCAATTCCACCGTCATCCCTACAAAAATGCGACAGTCTCCCTACTGTTACTTACGACCTCCAGAGAAACATCGTCCTCAGGCCTGTCTTGGAGAGCGACCAACCGTTTGACAAAGGAGCTGTTATAGACGGGGATTACTCAAAAGTTGATGCGGCAGTCGCCAGCAACACCAAAATCTCCTATTCAGCTTCCACTATACACACAGATATCACCAACTCCCAAGAAGTAACATCTAAAACATTATATCCTTACCGATGGCGGTTCTTCATACACAACCCCTTTAATTAATCCCCGCTTATTTTATACAATTGTGACGGCTCAGAAATTTCTTGGTGGATACTATCTTTTCTCTTTCCGGCGAACAACATCTGGCAGTCTAGAACCTCTGTGCCTGGCCGGGCCAGGTTCCAAGAGAATCTTCATGCATATGAGTCTCCTGTTCAGCCCATGATCCCTCGCGTCATGAGATATTGGTTCGCATAGGACCAGGACCTCAAAGAGAGGGTGATAGATTCTCTCTTTAATCAGTTTGGGGCTATAAGGAGTTCTTGTTTGACTTCTGTTTTACTCCATTTTCTGACCTTGAGTTCACTACTCATGAGGGAAAGCGTCAGAGGGTTTCAGGCAATCTCATCGGCCTCCAAGGTACGTCACGAGATGTAACCTTCTTCCCAGGTAGTCAAGAAGAACAAGAGATCCCTGTGAGACTGAATAACGGGGAACAGATAGCAAACCCGATCTTGTATAGGAGTCCTAAGAACGGGATAACGATAGTGATTGGATTTGGGATAGATTAAACTAGCGTCTCTATCCTTAATCGCTAAAAGGTAGTAGACATCTTCTTAATTAGGATAGAAATAAGAGTAAGTTATATATGACTTAAATCTTATCTATTGTGGCTGGCTCTATTTTGATTAAGACGCCGCCGGAAGTGGTAATGCATTATCCGTTCGTATTATTGATGGAAAAGTCGGAGGAGATTATCTTGATGGGCTGGATTACCCGAATCGTGACCACATATGTTCTCTTTTACCGTTCCAGTGGACTAGCTGTAGACTGGTTGAAGAGGGGTCCAAATTAAAGGGCATAAGCTTAGTATATCTATAAGAGATGCAGAGGACTAAAGAAACGAAAGCTGAGAGATCTTTTACCGTCATTCAAATTCTTATCAACTAAAATGACACGTATCATAAGTATAGTTCAAGGGAAGGTCTAGCACTCGAAATATAGTCAGACCTTTAGCAACAACAAAACTCGAAAGACTTTCACATTTAATATCAAGTCCATTCTCAGACACTATTATCTTCCTATTGATATCGTTACATCACGATCCGTCTTGAGCCCTATGATGGTAGCCAGAGTCGCCCACTACCTATCTCCCACCCAAGTTCACCCCCACCCCCAACTACCTCTTAGCTACATACTGACCCTTACAATACCTCCCCTCTTACAAAACAACACTCCCCCATCACAACAATGGACCTCGAGGTCACGAGAGTACTTCGCTCCTAGACCACATCTCCATCACACAAGTTTTCAACAGCCAACCCAACAGCAATCCCATCCACCGCTTCCACACGATCTTTATTTCACGATTAGCAGTGAACAGAACATACCCAACCTCCTACCCCAGTCCCCCAATCTTTCAACGCCCGGCAACCTGCAATCACTACTCAACTAATTCGGCCCCGGTCCGGTCCTCTACATACCCTCGGACTGGGACGCTTTCGCTGCGCTCGCTCGCGAGCTTGGTCGCCTTCCTCCATCGTTGAGTCGAAGGACCGAGAGATCGAAACACCCTCTCTAGGAGATTCCCCTCGTCCTCGTACAAGCAGCAGGGTGTAGAATCGTCTCTAGCTGTGTATCCTGTGGAACCATCTACCGCGGGGAAGCGACCGGCCTAACGGAAAACGTCCCGGTGCTCCTTGTTCCGTGGTGGTCTGTATTAACACGGTAGTATGCTCCGAAGGTAAGGTAGCCACTTTTGATGTGAGGGGATGACGGATGTGCCTACGTAGTAGGGGAGAGGCGGCGTGGGTGGAGGGCAGGCGGTAGAAGTGATCGGTTGGAGTTATCTTGGTATCATCTACATATCTAAGGTAGGCGTCAAGGAATTGGATAGATAGCCCCAGTCCTTCTTTCTTTCGATTTCTCGTCTTTGAAGCGTCTGGCAGTGTGATTCCAAGTCGACTCAATATAACTATAAAAGTCCACAACGACAAAGTATCACTGTCCTGGTCTATCGTGGGACTATCTCCCCTTAACGGGTTAAGTACATAATCTCGACGATGCTAGATGACAAGAAACTAAGGCCAATTATCAACTCACCCCTTGCCCATTCAAGAGTCGTTTTTTTTTTTTTTTTTGGCTAGATAAATGGTCAGAGAAACACTAGCACAAAAAACCAACACTTAGATCTCTTCCCACATCAAAAGAATGCTCAAAACATCCGACCATCAACGCCGCCACCATTCCCCATATCACAGCCAATTCCACCATCTTTTCCCCCAAAAAGATAAACCAGCCCGACCCAGCAAAAGAATCACCATCATAGTGGATCATGGACGAGCTGGGAATCGAACCCAGGACCTTTCGCATACCCGTTTGAACTCCACCTCTCACATCAGAAAGCCTTCATTTTTCTCAAATATGCTAAGCGAACGCTCTACCAACTGAGCCACACGCCCCCTTTCAAATCTTCATGTCCCCCACCCCCAGTCTCCCACCATTTAACACCCACCAACCACCACCTCCACTCACCCTTAACCTCCCTCCACCCCCTTCATCACCCCTCACATCTCGTCAAACCACCACACACACACACCTTCACTTTCAACACCACAAGCACAAACAGTCAAAAATATCAATTCCTGCTTTCTCACCCTGCAATGACAAACCCTATAGTGTACACCCCCCCATTTCCTCTAATAAAACAACTGATTAAACACTTCCCCCAAGAAACAAACCCCCTTCTATAGGGTAATCCAGCACGACTCAAAGCCAAGCAACCATCAATTCCTTGCGTCAAATCCAGAGCTGGCCCAGCCTTTTTGCCCAAAACTAATAAATTGAAGTAAAACCAAAAAAAAACAAAACAGAAATCCAGCAAAAGAAAGGACGGTAAACAATCAAAGCCAAAACGCCGTTTCGCTTCCCCCCTCTCTGACCCCGAGAAAAATATCCATCCCCATTGATTGCTGTCCTGGAACCCTTCGTAGGAAAAATGTATAAAAAAACGCCGACCGAAAAACATGGATATAATAGTAGCAATGTTGAGATAACGACAATCACCCCGAGAAAAGAAGAAAAGGAAAGCAAAGGGGTATATAACATCGAAAAGCCACTCCTCCTCGTGGCAAAGCACCGAAAATGATATGTCTGCTAAGCCAGGTATTCCTATTCCTGGCCATGATATAAGTTTCGCCGATGAGGCGGGTATCGAGAATCTTCTTGATCAGGGTACACAACAAACCCGTGCATCATAGACTCAACCCCCCCAGCACCCATCACATAGTCCAGCTCCTCCTACTGCTGGCCCTGAAATGGATTCTGTTGATGTGGTAAAAATAGTTGTTCTTGCTGATAATGCTGCTGGTGACCTGGGTACCCGGCAAACCCCTGCGTCTGCTGCATCATAAACTCGACCCCCGTGTTTCCTCCCACAAAGTCGCCATGCACCAGCTGCCTCGACCTCGCCTCCACCTGTGACGGAGACAAGCCCGGCATCGCTAACGGCATCGACATCGTCCTCGACACCGGCGACACCGGCGGCTGAGCATCTGATGCCCGCCTTATCATAGGAATAGGGTGGGCTGGCCCTGCCATTGCAAAACCAGCTGCCTGAGCCTCTAGTTGATGAGCAAACCCGGCTTGTTGCTGCATCGCCCGAAACTGGGCAAGTCGATAATGGGCTGCGTGGCTAGTGGATGGGTCGATGTGTGATTGAGAGAAGCGGCGTGGTGCAAACTGTGTGTTCAGTTGCGATGGCAAGACCTGGCTTGGAAGCCGAAGATGAGGGGGCACTCCTGCCCAGTTTGCGGGTACTTGCTGTGGCGGTAATTGGATATGTGTGGGTCGTGCCCGTGAAGCAGGCCGTGCGATGGGTGATGCCGGAACTGTCTCCGGGCTCAGCTCAGGAGGCGCCATCGGAACTGCCTGAGACGGCACTACTGGACTCGAAGGTAAGTGGGATGAAAGAGAGCTTCGCCGCTGTTTCTGCTGCTGTTGGAGAAGATTTCGTTGCGGGGGCACTTGTAAGGTGTCAATCTTTTGAGGTCTGGCCGGGGGTTCAGCCATGGGCAACACTGGAGAAGAACCTTGTGTTGTTATCGATCCCCGGCGTGAACCCGCCTCCGATCCAAGACGCGGAGTAGGAGGAGGGTTAGGCGTCTGTGGACTACTTGCCACCGGGACATGCACCCACTGCATCGCGGGTGACGACGTAGCCGGTTGTGCGGGCCTTCCTAGTATAATGGCCCGTTCTTGAGCAACGAGCGGGTCCTCTTGCTCGGGTTGCTCGGGTTGCTCAAGGAGCTCAGGTAGCTCAGGTTGCTCTGGTTGCTCATGTTGCTCATACTGCTCACGTTGCTCACGGGGAGACGGTCGAGAAGGCATAACCGGTGTTGGCAATCCCTGCTGCCTAGGTCTAGCCTCCCCTGGCCGCGACACCAAGACCCCCATCTCTTGTTCGGGGGGAGATGGGACAGAAGGTAAGTTGGGTGTATTTGGCCGAGACTTCGGCACTTTCAGAGACAGCGATGGTCTCGCTCGAGGTGGGTTGAGGTTCGGTATAGATTCCGACTTTAGAACCGGTGTTGGGTATGCCTGTTGTGATCGCGGTTGCGGTTCCGGTTCCGGTTGCTGCTGCTGCTGTCTCCCCGGGATCGTGCCAGTATTCGACCCTGTTTCTGTAAGCGGGTGGCTAGCTCGTCGCTGGGGAGGGAGAGACGCTGACTGGTTTCTTGGTAACTGGGGTGGAGGCGACGATGCAATACCAGGCGGAGCTTTCTAAGCCCGACCTGTCACCGACGGCCGCCGTTGCGGTGGTCCAGCAAGACTGAAACTCGACGAGCGTCGTTGAAAGTCGGTACCGCCCATGATGATGTCAGGCTCCCCCGGGGCATCCTCGGCATCAAACAGGCCCGGATGCCCATCCGGAAGCCTCTGGGCGCCGAAGCCGCTGACCTTGAAGATATTGACCCGCCCACCATTCGTGGCCGTCTGCAACTGCTCATGCAGTCTCGAAAGCTGATACTGCCTCTTAATCGGCGTAAACACCGGCTGCGGCACCACCGGCTGCGGATTCCAATGAGCCAGCGCAGCCATCACCGCGGCCGTCTCCTCATCACTGTCCACCGCCGCTGCATTCACATCATCCTCATCCTCCAAAGGCGCATTCGCATCAATCGCCGCCTTCTGCTGCTTGGCCTGATTCTTCTTCTGATACGCCAACAACAACATGTCATACGGCAAGCTCCTCCCCGGCACCGCCCTCTTCGCGCTCATACTATGACTCTTACAAGTCAAACTCCTCGCGCAAGGCAGCCCATTAGCAAGCGTAACACCACACTGCCTCTCCACATCCACCGGCCCCTTCGGCTTAGCCACCTTCCCCTTGGGCTCCTCCTTCTTTTTCTTCGTCTTCCCCCCCATCTCCCCATCAGCCTTCCTCTTCTTCCCCCCAACCTCCGTCTTCTTCCCGGCAACCCTCTTCGCCGTCTTCCCCGCCGTCCCACCACCACCACCACCACCACCCCCAACTTTCCCCCCCTCCCCATCATCATCATCACTATCATCCCCACCAACCCCGTTCTCCCCCTCAATCTTCCTCGCCTCCTCCTGCTGCTTCGCCCTCTCCCTCGCCTCCCTAGCCTCCTTCTTCCTTTGCGCCTTCTCCTTCTTAATCTTCAAACACCGCGCAATATGCTCCTTCCCCCCAATCCTCCTAACCCCCTGCTTGCAGTGCTTGCAAGACTGAACCTCCCCTATATCATCAACCCCTCCCCCCCTACAAAACCTCTCCCCCCACCACTCCTCAACCTCCTTCACCAACCCCCTCCCCCAACAACACCACCGCCCCCCCCTCCTCCTTTATTTTCTATTATTATTAT